TGTTGCCTACAGCTATGGGGCCAGAGAGAAGATGTCCCAGTCTGTAACACTCATGGAACACTCAGGCTCCTGCAGCTGCTCAAGCACTTCACACACCGCTCTTTGCACTGTGGTGTCTTGTCTTTTCTCAGCTCCTGCTGTGGAAATTATGGATCACGTGATTTTTTTTACCCAAAACTCGGGGTTCTGCCTGCTGGATGTGTGCTGATGAAAGTTCTGTCAGACTCAGTGGCATAGACAAGGTGAGGCTCCTGGATTACCTGCTTCAGTTGGAGGTCTGTAGGTGTAGCAGAGATGGAAGCCAAAGACGACCTTGGAAGCAGGGAGGAGGGAAAGTGGAGTTTTTGGAGATGTGTTTCAGGACTTCTCTGGGCAAGTATTCAAAAAGACTGACAGAAATAGGAAAACTGCGTGTCTAACAGACGTGAGAGTTGAGAGATAAAAGACTTCAGACCTTAGGGGCAAGGACAGAAGAGCAAGCACGACCCTGAGCCAGGGGAGGGTCTCAACAAAAAGCATTTGATTCTCCTGGGAGACTTCCTGTTATTAAACTATATGTTTATATATATATAAACCAAAAGACTTTGGATGATGGGGAGCAGCAAAGCTTTCACAAAGTGGTCTGATTTTGGTCTTTTCATAAGTTTTGGAGGGGCTATTGCTTTTCTAAACTAGTTTTCCATTTGCTAAACTGTCTTCCAATATTGATCCTAATCAGTGTGTTGCAATCATAAATACAGCCCTGAGCTTCACAACCGGCACAAACACGAGTTTCTGTATCCCAGTGGTGATTATCTGCATCTAAATAAAATGTTTACTGGATATTTGTTACTGGCAGAATCTGATTTTTACCAGTGTACTGGGTTTTTTTGTAATCACTCCTTGATGGAATAAAAACAAAATCTGCATCCTGTTTCTCTGTGGAAGATGTTCTGTACTTCTGTAATGCCAGGGAGGCTGAAGTGCCGAGGGTGAGAGTTTGGCACTAGCCCAAAGCCAGTCATGGCTTTCATCCCCAGCAAAATAGTGCAGACCTGATCTGAGGCTGAGTCCAGACTGGATTTTTCATATGTAATTTTCAGAAAAACTCGATGGAAGAGCACTGAGCTGGGTCTGTGACACACAAGAACTGCGGCACCGAAGCACTAAGAGGTTTTATCCTTTCAGTTTTAGGGGGTAGGCAAGAACCAGTGAGCATTACAGAACACAGCTCATAAAATAATTTTAATTCAGTGAATTATTAAATGTTTATTATGCAAGCAAGAGAAACTGTCCACAAATAGTAAGTTACTGTACGGCTGTAAGTACAATACTTTCAGAGCAGTTCTGATATTTCATATATGGTATTAAAAGGCTACAGTTTTTACTATGAAATCTCAGGTATTTCAAAATATTCTACATGCACAATTTATTTTTGTAGTAAAAACCTTATACTTAATTGAGGATACTTAGTGCTTTAGAAAATGTACCTTTGACTAAGGTCAGGAAATGAGAAGTTTCTGTTTCCTGCAGGACAAAAACAGGATGGGTCATTGACTTCTTCCTTTCACTTCAACTTTTTAGAACCTTGTAAAGTAGATTTTTTAAAAGCTTCCATTTGGCAAGTGTATTTCTGTGTCCTAAAGCAATAGACCCATGTTCTTCCGTGTCAGAACCTTCTCCATATCAGTGTTACCCAAATCAAAACCACAACACAAACAAACAAACAAACAAACAAAAAAATCAACCGAGCCCCACCCCTCTCCCCCCAAGCCCCCAGAAAACCCTGATGCTTACATTCTAAATCTGGTAGTAGGCATTGAACTGTCCTTACCCCAAGACTCCAAGAGTGCAAACAAACGTGTGTGTGCCTGTATCGCTGTGCTTTCCTTCCTATCCCCATGGTCTGCCTGGCGGTGCCGTTTGTCCCTGCCCTGGAGCCCGTGGCTGTGCGCGCCCTGTGACCCCCTGCACACACCAGAGTGTGGCCACAGGGCCCCAGTGACGGCCTCTCCCCCTCTCCCCACACCTCCAGAGACGCTGGAAATGCAGCGCTGCCACAGCCACGGGATGTGACACAGAACCAGCACAACTCTGGCTCCTCAGACACTGCCTAGCGTGGCCTCCGCACAGATCTGCAGCTGCTGACCAGCTCTGCCGTGAGAGCCACGACTTCTCTCACTACAGACCTTCTTGGGTACAAAGCCAAGCATTTAACAACACACAACACACTGCACAGCCAGACAGAGCTCTGTCCTCAGGAGAAACGCTGTGAAATTTATCGAGTGATGCAGCACCAGTTTACAGACACCCCTGGTGTGAGCCACCCCCTCGCCAGCTGCCAGCACAGTCCTTCATCTCCCCTGGAAACTCCTCTTCACAGTTTTATACACTTCTCAAGGTTAAACAATCAACCTTGGAAAACACAACTATGATAAACAGTTTGATTTTGTTTTGTTTTTTGACTATTTGGAAATAACCCAAAGCTCACGGACACAAAACTTAATTGCTTCAGTAATGTTACTGTAAGAGAACTGAAAATCCTCCCACCACGACGTGTCTGCGAGGCGTGCCAGCCGTGAAACACTGAGCAGTGAACTTCACAGGCACAGCGTGGTAAACCCTGCATGGAAAACTTCCAAGTGTTGTTGAAACGGAGTAATCAATCAAATGACCAAAGTCTAAGACTACCTACTTAGTCCAATTCAAACATATTACAAATGTCATCAGAAGGACAAAGTAACATTTCTACAGCACACATGTACAGATTCCATTGTTTTATGCATCTGCTGGACACACTACAAAAGCATCAAGGTGACCAAATCCCCTCACCAGGTGAGCTGTCAGTCCCAGAGCCGGGCGGGGCCACTCAGCCCGCCACAGGTCGTATCAAGGTGTGGTGACATGTGTCACTTTGGGTAACAGTTCTTCATACAGAAAGGTGAGTGTCCAATGCTCAGCACAATACTGGTGTAAAACACAGCGTATCATGAGGTAGAATTAAAAAAGTAACACTCAGTGCATATTCACAGGCATAGCGTTACAGTCACTAGGGATCCACTAGTCCGAGGAAGTTCCAGCAGGAAAGAACAAAACCAGCCTTGAAAGCAGACAGACAAGACTCACCCAAAGAAATGCTTTGACTCCATGGGTGGTCCTTCACCTCTGATAAAAACACAGTGCAAGTCCGTAAGAACTGTGAGACTCCCTCGAATGTCTCTGTAGTCCCTCCCATGACGTGTAAGAAAACACCAAGTAAGGTGAGAAAGCAGCCTGGCAGTGGGAGAGCAACTGCCCAGGGAAAAGCCAGGGTGGTCCGGGACAGGACCTGGATTTTCCCCAGAAAGCTTGCCCGTTACAAACTCGTTGTAGCTCCTTCTTTGCATAAAAATCTTGTATCCCACAGCTGTCCCTGGTTTCCTGCACACTTTCCTCCCAGGGCATTAACCCATAGCCAAGGGAGCTGATCCGGAGCTGCTCCAACCACCCCAGACCCACGTGTTCAGGTGCAGGATCAGGCTCACAGGGCTGGGTGCCAGCCAAAGGGATGATTGCCCTCAGATTACCAAACACCAAATATTGAAGGCTTCCTATTACCAAACAAATTCTCCACAACAGGAAATTCAGGACTTTTTTCTCTCATAATGCAGAGGAGCCTTAAGTTCAATAATTTCTCCAGCACCACCAGGGTATGCCACCTGCACAAATCCAAAGCTACAGGAGGATCCTCAGGCTTATGCTTCCAGCTTTCTCACCTCCAGAAATGTTGTTTTTATCCCCAAACGTGTTTTGCAAAAGGCTTTGTAAGAGTCAGCTTTGAATGAGTGTGCTCTGTTGAGCCACAGACAGTGAAACCGAACACCAAAAGCTGACAATCCTTTCAGGTAAAGTTCTAAAGTTCCCTTCTGAACTGAGTGTGTGACTGGTCAGTGAAACTTGAGTAAAATACTAAAAAAAACCTGATCTTGAGACACATAAACGAAGAGAATGTTACAAACTGATGTGGACTGAAATACCTATGCATTTACAAGGTTGGCTCTATTAACTCGGGAGCTGAAACCTGGTATTTGTACTTTGGGTGTGATCACAGAATCTGCTGAGTAGGAAGGGACCCAAAAGGACCACCCACTCCAACTCCTGGCCCTGTCCAGGACACTCCAACAATCCCATCCTATCCCTGAGAGCGTTGTCCAAACACTCCTTGGGGCCATGACCACTCTCCCAATGCCCGACCACCCTCTCAGGGAAGAACCTCTTCCTAATATCCAACTTAAATCTGACACAGCTCCAGCCCTTCCCTCGGCTCCTGTCATTGCTCACAGAGAGCAGAGATCAGGACTTGCCCCTCGGGAGGATGCTGATGACACCAACGAGGCCCGCCCTCATTCCCCTGCAGGCTGAATAAAGGAAGTGCCCTCTGCCGTTCCTC